TGAAGAACCAGAAGAAACTTTCACAAAGTGGCATTTTTTTTTCTTTTCCATTTTTAAAAATAAAGAGTAGTCTTGTCTAAATATCGTATTTTCTATTCTACAAACATAATAATGTTGCTATAGTATTTCTTCTCTAAAAAAAAATCATTTACTCATTAATTCTGATTAACATTTTATTAATTCTGATTAACATTTTATTACATATTCAAAAGTCTTATCTTCTTAATTACACTTTTTATACATTTTTTTTTCTTCATTTGATAGTGTGAGCCTATATTTTTCTGTGAATGTAATTTTGAGTATTATTTAATTTTCTAATTTTTAAAAATAATTAGAGCGCATAATCTTCCGTCTATATATATCCTCCGGCGAGTTCTTTTAGTTCTGATCATCCAAATCTCTCTCATTCTCTTTCTCGCTCTAGTTTTCTCGTTGAGAGTCTGTTACTCTGTTTAATTACAAGTTTTTTCCGGGAAAAAGTTTCTCGGGAAAATAAAAGAAAAGAAGTCTCAAGAAAGATTCATCTTCGTTGATCGCTACGATGAAACGTTTCTTTTGCTGTCTCAAAGGAGGAAGCTCACGTAACGCAGGGCAAGGTAACGACGAGAACGACGAAGTAAACCTCGACCGACCATTTGGGAATAACGAGCGCCTCAATCATCTTTGGAGAAATCATCTCTCACTTCCTGACGATCGTGAAGTTGCAGGTTCCGTTTTCGCTTCTCTGTTTCAATCTCTTGAAATCGAAATCGAGATTTCTTGTTTTCTGGGTTTCTTGTACCTTAAGCAACTCTGTTTTGAAGAAGTTTCTTACTTGTTTGTTTTGATCTCGTCACGTTCATGCAAGTGAAAGTAGTATATTAGTTCTTCTTGTTTCGAAACAGCGTCTCCATCTTGTGAACTTAAACTGATTCGTTATCGTAACACAAGAAGAAATTGATTTAGGGTAAATCTTGTTCGATCTTTAAGTTTTGGTGATTCATTTGCAGATCCCACTGCTCGTTTTTTCCCTATATCTCCACCTCTACCTGATAATTGTGGAGCATCATTTCTATGGCGCGAACTCGTAGACGGAACAATAAACTTCCGGGACGAATATTTTCTCGGCAGAGGCAACTTCGGCGAAGTCTATCGCTGCCGCTTCTCAAGACTTAATGAGGTATATATATCGACCCAAAAGTCATGTCCTTTATGGTTAAATATCGAAACTAAAGTCTGCAACTTTTGATTTCATTAGGATGGAGCCGTAAAGATTCAAAAACCAGACAATCCAACTGGTCATGTTGAGTTCTTGGCAGAGGTTACAACGTTACATGCAGCTAATCACCCAAATGTGATTAGACTTCTTGGCCATTGTTACGGCCAAAGGAACCGTGCTATAGTCTACGAATTCATGCCCAATGGCTGTCTTGAGCGTCACATCTTTGGTAAAGAAAACTCAATCAAACCTAATTGATGACTCGGTTTTAGTTTCCGGGTTGTTAATCAACTCCTTGTCTTCTTGTATAGCACACGCAACGAGGGTGCAGGGTCCGTTTCCTCAGGGTCTACAACTACCAATTAGGGTTTTGGATTGGGATACGAGGATGAGAATTGCTTTGGGTGTAGCCAAGGGTCTGGTTTATCTACACCAGGAGCTGAAAGTGATTAACCGAGATGTCAAGGCCGGAAATATTCTACTTGATGCAAATTTTGTGCCGAAGCTGACTGATTTTGGATTGGCGACTAAAATCGATGTAGATGAAAACGGTGTTGAGAAGCAGATCCTGATCAATCCGATGAAGGGATCTTTGGGATACATTGCACCGGAAGGAGAGATTTCCGGGTTTGTTTCGACTAAGACTGATGTCTATAGCTATGGAGCTCTTCTGGTAGTGCTTTTCACCGGAAGGGAGCCTTTCTATGTGAAGAAACCTGT